TGTTGTTATTCCCTTACTTTGCCTACTTTATAAATTAAACTTTATCATAGGTGTGTATGTATAGGAAAAGAACAGAGAATATATAGGGTTTGGTACTATCTGCAGTTTCAGGCATCCGCTGGTGGTTTTGGAATGCATCCCCTACAGATAAGGGGGAACTACTGTAATCTATGTGATGAATCTCTTCATTCTTGCTGCTTTCAAGATTCTTTCTCTTTAGCTTTGCATAGTTTGATTATAATGTGTGTTGATGTGTGTCTCTTTCGACTTTACCCTATTTGGAATTCAGTCAGCTTTTTGATAGGTACATTAATGTCTTGAATCCAATTTGGCGAACTTCTTGACATTATCTCTTCAAATAATCTCTATGCAGTTTTCTCTTTTCTTTCTGGGACTCCCATAATGTGTTCCTTGTTCCATATGATGGTGTCTTACAAGTCCCTTAGGTTCTGTTTACTTTTTTCCCTCCTCCTTAGACACAATAATTTCAGTTGTCCTGTCTTCAAGTTTGCTGATGAGTTCTTTTGCCTGCTCAAATCTGTTGAACGCCTCTAGTAAATATTTTGTTATTGTACCTTTTTGCTGCAGAATGTGTTTGGTTCCTTTTTATAATTTCTCTTTGTTGATGTTCTCATTTTATACACCATTTTTCTGATTTCCTTTAGTTCCTGGAGCATATTTGAAAGTCTTTTTCTAGTAAGTTCAATGTGTGGGCTTCATCAAGGCCAGGTTCTGTTCCTTTGAGTAGGCCTTATTTGTTTCTTTGTATGCCTTGGAACTTTTTTGTTGTTGAAAACTGGGCATTTCACTATTATAATATGGTAATTCTGGCTGTAAGATTCTCCCCTATCCCCAGCATTTACCGTTTTTTTTTTGGTTGCTGAAGGCTGTCATGCATCTGTTTTGAGACTTTTCCAAACTATTTTTACAAAGTCTGTTCCTTGTCGTGTGTGATCATTGAAGTCTGTTCCTTTCATCTCACGTCCAGCTGTTTTGACAGAGATCTCCTTGAATGCCAGTTCTTCTTGTCTTTGCAGATTAGCTGGGTGCTAGGACACTCCTGCACTTCTTAGCTAGGCTTGCTCCAAGCCTAGGGATCAGAGCAAGATGCAAGCTTAAGGTCTCAAATCTTCTCTGAGTGTGTGTTTTGCCTGGACATGCACGTGGCATTCTAAATCCACCCCCCTGTGTACAGCTGCTTTTGAACGTCCAATTTCCCAAAAATCTCACCCCTGCTTCTCCTTTGGGCCTTACGTGGTCTATTTTATGTTTCCACCCATAATCTCTTGCCGCAGGTGTGAGTCTGTAGTCACCCTGCAGCTTTTACAAGCAGTGCCCACCACTTTTCCTGATTTCCAAGTTATGCAAACAAACATGAGCACCTTGAGTCAGTCCTTCAGATATCCCCCAGACAGATTAGAGAAGACAGACACAAGGATTTGCAAGTAAAGTCTACTCTGCCTCTTCTGATTTGAGAGAGGGAACTGAGAACCAGGCTTCGGCCACTTTAAGAATAAGACCGCCACTGCACTGGGGCAAGGGTGAGTAAAAACATCAGAAAACTTGCCTACCCTTTTGAAGATGGTTCTTCCTCACTGGGCATTCTCTTGGTTGCTGTAAACCTTTGACTCCTTTCCAGAGCTCCAACAAAGCTGGTTCATACAGTTGCTGGTTGTTTTTCTCTTTATCCCAGTGTTTCTGTGGGGGAGCAAGAGCTTGGAGAGTCCTAGTCTACCATTTTGCTGCTGTCACTCAGGTCAATTGTTTTAATACTATCTGTAATTCTAGTATCATGACAAAGTTTTTAACAGAGTATGTTTTAGATACATGTATGGTGATTGAATTTTGGTTAGTCAGACTTGGAAATATTTTGTAAATGTTAAAAAAAAGGTCTCAAAATTCTCTGATCATCTGCATTTAAAATTAAAGTTAATGAATATATTGTCTTCCAATTTCTTGTAATTATCAATCTTGCCTCTTTTGCTGGCTGGGATGACAATCACTAGAGAACAATAACTTTTATACAAACTGTTTATGAAAATGTTCCATACACTCTTGGTACCAAAACATTAAATGAAGATTATTGGTTTCTGCCAATGTTTTCTACTTTATAGTAGCATATACTCTTGTAACCTGTCTCAGTTGTGGTGTAAGGCAGAAATGAAATATATAAACCAAAAATAATGTCTTGCAAATATCTGAATATTCTTTAAAATATTAAAATAATTTTCTCATAATACATTCTTTCCATAGTATAGGTATTAATTTGGTTCATTTAACAAGGATATTACTACTAATGCTTACTATGTTTTGTTATTTTAGGATTTTCTCTAAGCAGATGCATACCCAGTTTCTACAAATGAAAATCAAGTCAGTCATCTAAAAACCTCACAATTTCCAATCAAGTTAGAGTCTTCCGTTTCCAGTAAAATTGAATTTATGGTGGTGCTAATCTGAGTTAGACTGTGTCGGCACAAAGTGACAAAAGTAGATTTATTTTTTTTCTCAAAACTTTCTGCAGAATGCACAGAAAATTCTCCAATTTGTCAAGTTCATTTTACATTCTTTGCATGTTCATTGTATTAAATTGGCAATATAAATCAGTGGCAAAACTTTTGCTATCTGGCCTGTCTTGTCTTACTAGGTTGAGAAGTTGGTATATTTGCCAATGTTTAAGCAAAGTTAAGAGAACTGTAGTAGTGAAGTGGCCTATTGGATCCCCTTCATTAATATAGGTCACAGTAGATTATTAACATGTCAGTGTGCATGGTATCTACTTCCAAGTCTTAATCCCAAGGCCTACCTGCCCTCCTCTGCCTTACGTTGCTACTTTGCTTATAAAGAGTTTAGTTCTACTTGCATAAAAGGGAATGGAAATACATTCCTTGAAACAGCCTCTTTACAAAACAAACTGCAGCTGCAGAAAGATTTTGCTTTGAAAGCATATAAAGGAAATCAGTATTTTTAAATGTCTTTATTAAACAATCCTATCAATCTGACCATCACTCAAGAGAAGGCAGGGTAGTGTGTGAAGACATGAAAGGTACTTTTCTTTTTGTGCTCATATCAGTTTTTTCACGTGATCATTTTCCCAGTTTCACGACTGACTACAATGGTTGCCATTTCTAGGCATTTACTATGTTTTTAGCTGAAACAGTAATTATTCCCTTAATGCTTGCTTTTGTCTAAGGCAAGCATTTCAAAATTGTAATAAATTATTTCATTTTAAATTTGGGTAAATTACTGTTCTCCTTCCATGCACTGTCAAGGCCTCTGGAAGGCAGGGCAGATGACTTGCATTTTTATCAGTACTACTCATTTCTATTGGGTTCACTTCTCCCCTTCCTGTTCTGCAGCAAGGTTACAACCTTCCAGCCAAATGAACTTACTGTTCATAACAAGCCCCAAAGGCTCAGCTTTAAAAAGGAACCCTATGTTAACCTCAAATATTGTATGAAATGACTCTGCAGCAGACTCTCCTTTGAGAAGTAATAAAACATTTTATATGAGTATTAATTTGAAAAATAAATTCATTCACTCCTCAGGCTCATTTTGTTCATATTTGCAGATTTTAAAATCCTTTTTCCTCTAACTATTCAACCAACTCTGATTAATATCAGGGACAGAAAATTTACAAAGTATTTTCCTTATGCCCTATGTAAACAGATCCAAGGACTCAAATTTTCAGGTACTATCTACTTGATAATGAGTACTAATGTCAAATAGAAAAGTTAATAGCTAAATAAAAATGGCTAAATATTAATATTCACACATTAAAAGTTCTAAGACAATCAAACTTTTTCTTTGGACTTTCTTCAGGAACTAAGATTTAGGATAACCAAAAGGGAAACTTTTAAGTATTTTTATCATATATATAAACAATAAGAGAAAAATCTTTTGAGGTAAAAACTGAGAGAAAAGTGATTAAAAATAGAAAAGCAGGAATGTTAATACATTTGATTTCACTTACCTTGTAAGTTTTCTAGTGTTAGAACCACTGACCATTACAAAAGTGCCATACATTAGTTATATCATACTGTATTAGGTAAAATATGCTAAGATATCCTGTAACTAAGACCTGGAAAAAAAAGTTGCTTAGGCAGGATTGATGTTAAGTTCTCTCTTGTAAAACAATCTGGAGGTAGGCAGTCCAGGCCAGTTATGGTAGCACTTCAACAAAATTACACAGTGACCCAGGATCCTTCTGTGTGGTTCTCTTCCACAATAGAGCACTGCCTCTTCTGAAGTCCAAGATGGCTCACTACCAGATCCACTACCAAGTAACAGGATTGAGAAAAGGCAAAAAAAAAAACAGTCACACCATTTTGAAAGAAAGACATACATTTCCCCTCACATTTCACCAGCCAGAACAGTCATACTTGCAAGAGAGACTGAGAATGTAGTCTTTGTTCCAGGAGGGATGTATGTGTTTAGCTGAAAACCCAAAGGTTCTATCAATCACTATGTGAAAAGGACAGAAAGACTGGATACTGGGGAGAAAATGGTGTTCTCTGCACGTAGCTCATTTAGATATTTGCATAATCAGAAATTCAAACTTGAAAATCATTCTAGTGGGAATATGCCAGGATTTTAACAAATACCTATTATCCTGGGTTTTCTTTTCTAAAGGATTAGTTTACTTCCTTGATTCACTCACCAAAAGCAATGAAATACAAAACACTATCTGCATGAGTTTCCAAGGTATGTTTGTTTTATTGGCATAAAACCAAAATAAGGTGATGTAATTTTCTGGCCTGCCAATCAGCTACATAAAGGTGAAAAGGAGTTTCTCTTGTAATTTTTTTATTGAGGGAAAAGGAAGAAAATTTTTTATGAAGTAATAAAATACTGATTCGTCTTGGCAATTTATTTGACTCAGCAACTTTAGAGTACTAAAAAATAGTTCTTTAATTTTTATCAAATAAGTAAAAAGTCAGTAATTTGTTACAGCTTCTGAAAAAATTGGTTGTAAAGCAGAGAAAGATTTCTCAAGCCATCTGTATATTTTTCTCCTTTATTAAGGGAGAAAAAACAGTCTTCATAATTCTGCTAAAAGATCACCTAACAATGCAGAGGTAGTCATGGAATGTCTTAGATCTCCATCTTATTGATGACTCTTCTTTCAATCCTCCTATGCAGAAGACAAGTTACGTTACACAGCAGCTACGTAATCGGGTGCAATACAGCCATGATTGGTTTGCTTGTACCTGATGTAAAAGCTCTCAACTCTCACTATGTGTTATGATATGTACAAAGTTGTCTTTCATCTAATATATTAAAAACTACCCCCAATGTAATCTTCAGAGCATCAAAGCTACAAAACAGATACATATAAAGTTATTTGTGTTTGAAATACACATAGCCCAAGTTTCCATTTTCTGGAAAAGGCAGAGCCTGAAGTTACATTGTGAAAGCCACTTTACAGGTGGCTTTATTTAGTTGACCCAAGATGAATCAGTGCCATTATTGTTGTATAGCTATGAAACAGATCATCATCCTTTACCTCATTACATTTCTTCAATATAAAGTTCCCAGTGACTATGCGATCACATCCAATTTCTCCATTTCCAAAGAAGCCAAATAAAGGAACACTAGGAAAAAACTTCCTAAATGCATCAGCCTCAACATTCCCCTTGGCTCTGTAATACTGAAAGCCCCTGCCAACGCATGCAAACATGAAGCCAATGGTGTTCTGTTCTGGAATGTTGGCTGCTTTGAGGCGCTGCATCGCAGCCTCAGCAGTCTTCTCGTCATTGACATCCTCGTTGAGAAGCACTGTGGCACTCTGGATTCGGTGTCCACTAAATGATAGTCCAACCACACCTGTGGCATCAATATCCAGAGGGTTCCTAGAAAATTAAATTAGAAAAGTGGCAATACATCATGAAACAAAGTTAAAATTTTAAAGTGTAGAAGAAAAGAAAAATCCTCCTGATTCACTGGTTGGGAGCTGCTGCCTTTAGCAGTTTACAGTTAGTCTGAGGCTTACCCTCCCAGATAAGAGGGGTTTTAATAAGGTTAAAAATTAAACTATCGAAATTAATACATTAAAAGAAGGCAGATCTATAGAGAAGTAAGCAACTGTTTTTTCATTCACAAACAGCAAAGGGCAAATGTATCTCCACAAAGATTTCTGAAACCTATCCCAGGTTTTTAGAAAGTTAGTTGTATAGTGAGTCCTTACCCTTACTTCCTTAACAGGAACCTTACACTTTTATTCATATACACGATATCCACTAAATGAAGCTTTTTGGCATTATTTACATCTCTGGTATCTTTTTTTACCCTATCGCAGCTGTCAAATTCTAAAAGAGGTGTATTAAGTATTCAATCATGGAGGATAATTTTATTCAGAGCCTATAACTCCACAAGTTTTAGCTTTATGTTGTTTGGTCCATAAAGAAATATGTTCCATTGCTGTACCTTTTTTATCACTTTGAGTCTAGAATTCAGGTTAAGCTAAAGCAGCACGTTTTCTTTTTGTATGTACTTGACTGGTATTTTTTAATGCAATATTTTATCCTTCCTAAAGAAAATATAAATAAAGTGTCAATGTTATAAAGCATAATATAGTGAACACCCACTGGGGGAAAAACAAGTAAGTACCTTATGTTTCTATCATGTTTACCAACATCTGAGTCTATGAAATGGGCAAGATTCACTGGGTTAACAAGAAACCAAGAATCGAAAGCTTAAGTGACTGAGATAATAAGGCTAGTTAGTGGCAAAACCAGTTTCTGAGGGGCAGAATCCCTCTTCTTAAGTCCTCTGCTGCTCCTTTTACGTTACATTTAATGTTACATTACTCCTTACATTTCCTCTTTGGTATACAATTGCAACTTGTGTTGTCAATCTCTTGCCTCAACGAATTATTCACCTATCTTTTGGGTGGGGGGCAGTGGGGGCTAGTATCTGGACACCATTAAAATGGAGCACTGATTTATTCAATGGCTTCTCTTACCCATTAACATGAAGTAATGAAGTATGAAGACCACATTAACATTAATGTGTCATGTAAGGGGTAATGATTTTTGAGGGTATATTTCCCATATTAGGTATAAAAAGTAGATGATATACAGACAGCCATGCTAACAGGCTAGCACCTCAGATGTTATATGTCTGAGTGAGATACTGGCATTTCAAAGGTAAATTGTATGTTAAATCACCATTGCCCTATCTGTATACAATTTAAAGGTAAAAGCAAAGACACAGGGAAAATTAGGCAAGAGGGGAAATAACCCACAGATAGCTACCAAGAATTAGATGTATTTATGCATGAAATCCAATGTTTGATATCCTGCTGCTTGGAATTCAATGCACTTGGCTTTCCTCCTTGCTGGCAGTCCAGGGACCTTGACTTAACTATTTGCTTTCCTTGATCTGTCAGAGGAGACTACCAGGAGGGAGATTATAACTGGGATGATTTATGTTGCTCTTAAAGATACTGATTTCTAACAGTCTGTTGCTACATTACCACTCAAGGATCCAAATACTAAACACAAATACAGTGAGAAACAAATACTAGTGTTTGCAGGAAGCGTTTGGGAGAGAGGAGGGTCTCATTTTCCTGCTTGTGAAAATAGCTGATATTTATGTCCACTTAATTAGCTCAAACTCAAAATACTATATACTTTCATTCAAAATGGAAAAGGAGTAATGGCTCCCAAAATAGAGAAGATATTTGTTATCTTTGAAAGCAAAAGTCTTAGTAACAAAATCAAAGATGCTCAGTTTTTGAGCTTGAAAAAGCCTTTCAATAGATCTAGTACAGAATTTCAAAAATGTGTGCCAAGTAATACCAGTAGGCCTGCAAGATGCTCCGTGGAAAAAAGGTTTTGTGGCCAAATAGATTTGACAACTGCCACCAGTGGTAATATTACCCCCACAGAAGATTTCCAAAGCACTGAGCATATCAGAAGCTCAGAGAAGTTTTACCATCAAGATTCACTGTTTAACCATGCATTTCCTTTAGAGGAGGAAACAAAACTAGAGAGGAAGTAAGGTATTGCAGTTACAGAGTACAGAGCTGTCAAGGGAGATAGCAGTAGATAATGTTGAAAATCAATTTTGAGGACAGTATGAGTCTAACTAGGAATAAATTCTTAAAGGACATCATATATAAATTTCATCAACTGTAAGCAGAATTATGTTGAGTAAGCCCCTCAACCTATGTAGATTGCAAAATGGAATGAACTGTTAGCAATTCTGTAAACATTTTAAAAAAACCCAAGGTAACAAAAACCTGAGAACATCCCCCACCACGCACAGAAGAAATCAGAAGCTCATCGGACATACTTTTCAGAGGTCAGTGATGCCAGGTTATCCACCTGGCCTCCAGCCAAGATGACATTCATATCACTGAAAGTGCTGACTACTCGCTGCAGATAATTACTGGCTCCTGCTTTACAGCAATTATAGCCAAATACAAGGACCACACGAAGCTCAGGGTTATCTAAAAGACCTGCAGAGAAATGAAGAACAATAATTGAAGATAGCCTTAAAACAGAAATTTTTATTTTTATTAAAATTTTACTTTCTACATTTTGCAAAATGAAACGTTACTGCTAATGACTTGCACTCCTAGCTAAGTGCAACTTAGTACTTAAGCTGTCAAGGTTGCCATTTTTTACAAACTTTAACACTACTCAAAATCTTTGCTACAATTTTTTCCCATAAAAAAACTAAATGGCTATTTGAAAATAATACAATCAATGCTCAACACAAATAAGGAAGCAGCTATGTAACTGAACAGCACCCTTGGTGGACCTTGGTGCAAGCCATCTCCACACAGGCCACCACCTGGAATGAAGGGGAACACTGGTTTACAAAGAATAGAGTTATTAGCAGCACTAGGAATTTAAAGATCCAGAGAAAAGGCACTGACCACCTGTAGTGACCTGTAGTGGGCTGAAGGGTGGTCCCCCTCAAAATATATCCACATCAAATCCCTGGAACTGATGAACGTAACCTAATTTGGAAAGAGGGTCTTCACAGATGTAATTAAGGATCTTGAGATGAGATCATCTGGATTATCCAGGTAGGCCCTAAATACTGTGACAAGTGTCCTTACAAGAGATATACAGAGACACACAGACAAGAGGAGGTAATAAAGCAGAAATTGTCAATAGCCCCCAGAAGGTGGAAGAAACACGAGATTCACCCCTAGAGTCTCCAGAGGGAGTGTAGCCCTATCGACACCTTGATTTTAGACTTCTGGCCTCCTGAACTGTGACAAAATAAATGTCTGTTGTTTTAAGCCACCAAGTTTGTGGTAATGGATTAACCATTGGAAACTCATTCCAAAGCAGGAAAATGTTCAATTCTGCAGCATGCAGACGAAAAGCAGCCACCACCAGGGGGCAGCCTAGGCTAACAGGAGATAGGCTGTACTCACACTCCCCCACAAGCTCCAAGGCTTTCACCTCTGCCTCCAGCACCTTGTTTGAAATTTGCCAGCATTACCAAACAGGTGGCTTTGGGATATGAGAATAAAACTAACACCTGACCCACACTCGCGTTTCCACTGACTCAGCCACGTGACTTCCATCTTGCCAGACCTAAGGTAAAGGTTACCAGAAATAAGACTCACTCAAGGAAACTGGGGTGGGGGTGAATGACCAGTTACTAACACTAAATAATGACTTATCCAGGGAAACTGCCTCTGGTCCATTTCTAATTCTCCACACAGCAAATCACTGATTTGGAGAGTGAAAAGAATATTAGTATACAAATCCAGTACTTTCATGACACCATATACCATGACCCCAAACCATTACTAAAGGGCCTTTTTTCCCACACAAACCAGCCTAGCAAATTTTGAGAGAATGTTTTTTCTTTTTTAGAATGAATTTTCAGAGTCAGAAGAAGCCTGTGGGATCAACAGTCTAGTCTTCTTTTACAAATAAGGACTGCTAATCCCAGAAAAGTGACTAGCCCAGGACAGTATCATGGCAGACTCTAGATTAAAACCCCTATCTCCTGACTCGCAGAGTTTTCGGTTTTAGAAACCTAAAGACTTCTAAATCTCTACCTTTCCTACTGTTTTCTAAGCTCTAGACCCTCTTACAATTGTCTACTAAATATTTTCATTGGAATATTCTAAAGGTGCCACCCTCATTCATTTAACAAACACATGCCTAGTGCTTTTAACATCTTCCTCCAGTGGTACTGTACCACAACAGAACCACACACACAAAAATCTAGAAACTAGAATCACTTCCCCCCAACCTAGAGAACAAATCCACCTTAGCCCAGGCTGGTTGCCTGACAGAGCAGATGGATCTGTATTTAACCAACAGACATCTGGAGCTTCAGGTATGTAACAGAAGGAAGGTACAACTCATACTCCTTGCCAAAATGGAGACGCCTAAGAAGACCACCCAGTTCTTTTTGAGGTAAATTCTGGCACTACCTTCAATCCTGCCTCAGGTCACCTCTGTGGGGAAATAAGACAGATAAGAGGACAAGTGTCTTAGGTCTTTCAACTTCAAGAAAGCATGCTAGCCGTATCCCCAGCTCAGCTGCTTGCTGGGCAGGTGACTTACTCAACCAGCACACCAATTCAAGGCTGTAATCTCCAGTTCATTATTAGTTGAAATCCAGCTGTGAGAGAACTATATCAGTCAGACTGAGTGCCTAAAGAACATGTGGGCCATCCATTCCTTTGGTGGTTCTAAATATTCTCAGATTAAGCAGAGAGCTCAGTAACCAGATCCACTGGTTTGGATCCTACAACTGCTTTTACTGAGTCATATTTGCGTGAGGCCATTGGTGTTCATAGAGTGGCATAATAAGAAACAGCTTGAAAAACTCAATCTATTCACTATAAGGGCATTGTGCATCCACTAGAAGAATTTATCTCAGTTCTAAGAAAACAGGGAAGAGTTGTGCTTCTCAAGCCCTGGCTTAGCCAAACTTGTAGACCACCTCCAGCAAACGTTGAAGGTATGCATTTCACATACTACCCTCAACCTCGGCTTTACTATATTCCTCCCACACACACCCCTCAAGTCAGAAGTCCTCCACTGATATTGTATGTATCTTTGTAAGCTGCCTTAAATTCATTTTCAAATAAGGCAGAATATAAATTCATTACAGCTAGGATCAAGCTGGAAGGTTAAAAGGAAAAAAAAAAAAAAAGATCTAGACACCAAGACCAGTTCACCAGACACCAAGTTCAGGAAACTTTGAAACAAACTTTCAGGAAAAATCTGAATCTTTCCGATTCAGGAAAACCAACTATGAAGGAACTATTCCAAAGACTACTTGAAAACTTTAGGTATACATGCTCAGATTTCTCTTCTTTTTAGAGAAGCCACTCTGAAGACAACTGTTTCATGACCTATTTGAAAGTGATGTAATCTAAATGAATGTAGAAAACCTACTTCAAAGAAAATATCTACTTAAAATGAGAGGCTAATACCATGGACAATTGATGGACAACAGCTGGGTTCTCCTTTCCCCACAACCTCTTGGGTTTCAGCACCTCCTCCTTCTCTGTATCTTCACACCTATCTTCTTTACATGGGGGTAGGGAGGTAAGTCTGAAGTCAGCACAGTAAGGACATGGCCTTTGGAGTCAGACCTGGGTCAGAACTCAGGCTCAACCACTTGCAGCTGTGTGACTGTGAGCACGTTAACTTGACTAAAACTGGGAGAGGAGCAAGTCTCAAGGGTGGTTGTGATGATTAAATAGATAACGTCATAAAGAAGCATCTAACCCTGGTGTCTGGCACCCAGCAAGGGCTCAAGAGAGGAGAGCTAACAAAGCACATTCTGGCTAAACTGAGGGCCCTGACCACAACTGAGATTTAACCAAATAATGAAATGATGAAGCTTAAGGCAACATTTCCCCTTGAATCAAATGAATCCAAAGCAAACTTCTAATTTAGAGGGGGAAAAAGAAACCTTGCATCCCACCCTCAAAACTGGCTGGAGGTCACCTGCGTTGCTCTGACTTGCATGTAGTTGTCATGCTTTCTGACATGCACCTCATCCCAAAATAGCTCTGATGTTGTACAATGAGAAGCTGTGTCACTCTGTGTATGTGGCAGGGGATTAAAAAAAGAGAAGATCCACACGTCAGTCAGCACCATGAACATGGAGCCTGTGGCACGGGGGTTGGGGGGGCACGTAGGCCTGGGGCTGTATTCTGCCCCCTACAAGGCCTCTCGAAGTGTGAGTCTTCTAGGACTCTACTCCCGTAGCTGACTCAAGTCCACTACAAAGGGGAGGAAAGCATAACTGTACGTCAGCACCACATTCCTGTCACTTAGAGTTTTTCAAGGGCTGGGCAGCTTCTAAAGCAGAGCGAGTTCCATCACTTAGGTTTTAGCACCATTTTTCCTGCTATGTACCTGATCACTGCCTGTGGCCCCCTCAAGATTCTCTATGAAATCTCCAGATAATTTAAAAACTTAGTCCTTCAATTTTTGGGGGGAATCTGACTTAACAAATAACTAAAATTTAGTTTCCACCCCTCTCAGTTGCTGGCAGAGTTCAAGAGGAGTAGTCAAAGGACCAAAAAGCAGTAAGCAGAAAGGACCTGAAGAACCCACAAACTAGATCACGAGATCACCAACATAACAAGAAACACAGCACTCGGGCAGGCACTGTTCTAAGCACTTGACAGAAACTAACTTATTTAATGCCCATAACAACCCGCTATGTGCTGTTCAGCTCCTAGAAAGTCTAGGAGGATTCAGTGTCTTCAAAATTCACATTACAACATGCAGATTGTATCCCCTGTTACAGGACCTGACTCAGACCAGACTAAGTGATAATCAATACACCCTCCAGAAGCGGCTGCCCAAAGGGCAACTGTGCCTGCCGGGCTATGGAAACACAGGCACTTCACTCCTCTCCTTCCAAGAGCAAATGCACAGGGTTCTTCAAGACTTCCTCTCGTGACTCTAAAATGTAAAAATCAGTGGAAGACCTTTTCTAATGTCAATCTCTACAAATAAAACTGTAACCTAGAAAATCGTGCCCCACGGGGCAGTCACAGGTTTGAGCTTTACCTGGGAGAATGTCGGAAGGATGTATTTGTATAAGAGAGAGACAGAGCATCACAGGTGTGAGGCAAGTGTCTCAAAGGAGGACCAAGTGCTGGCCCCCAAGTTCAGGCTCATCTCACGAGCAGTCGGCAGTCCCGAAGCTGCCTTCTCCAGCTATTCTGTCTGTAGGAGAAGAGGGGTCACAGGCCGCCCGACACTGCTTTGATGCTAGAGCCACTTTACTGGATAATCCAAAGCCTGTAAGGAAGAAGTGCAGACCATCCTCAGGGCGGGAGGCTCCTCCCCTCCATTACAGACCGTGCTCTGCGGGGCATGGATTCCAAAGGTGCCCAGGGGGAGGCAGGGGAGAAATGAAGCAGCCTCAGTTCTAGACTTTCCACTCTCCCTTCAACCTAAGCAGCTCTGCTCTGTCTGCTTTATTTTTATGTTGGTGCCCCATGTAAGA